TCCCGATATTAAATATTTTAATAAAAATATTTATATAGCTATTTAATTTAAACGGGCTCGGGTCTACCTATTATTGTGAACCGGTATTTTGTGCCCAAATGCCTTAAGCCCAAAAATGATTTTTAGCCTAGAAGTTTATTTGTTATCCCAAACCCAAAAATGTATTTATTTATTATATGATATGTAAGCTTTGAACCCAAACTAGGCAACCCATATGTTTGTATAAATATATGTATTATAATTATTTTTGTGAGCCCAAGATGTTTGGCCTAAATCCACATTTAGTGTAGCCCAACCCATTATGAACCCTACTCTTTATTGTGCGTATGAATGTATTGTATCACCCATTCCTTGTCCATGATGTAGCCGTGAATCTCTATGCTTCCTCTCTTCGACTTAGCCACAATGGCCGAACACCATGAACCTTCTAAAACAACACCAATCATCATCAACAACCGCCCTCACCTCTCCCTCTTCTCTCCCGCTCTTTCCCTCCGGCGAGGTGTTTTTCGGCGATCAGCGATGCCCCGGCATCTCCCTTGCTCCATTGAAGCAGAGTAGTGAGAATGGAATCGGAGCTTGGCAGCAGCGACATCTTCCTCTGTTCCCGGCGACATGATCAGTTTCCGGCAGAGCACGGTGGCACGTAGCATCTCTTCTTCAACAACAGTAAGCTCTTCGGCGATGCGGTGATGTTTCCTCTCCGACGCAGTAGCTCTCCGGCGAACTTTCTCCAGCAGCGGCATGGTGTTTTCCTTCTCGGCGGTTTCGACGGAGCTCCGTGTGGTAGCTGTGGTCCCTCTCCGGCGACGTGGTGGCTCAGGATGTACCCGCGGGCAGTGGATTGGGTTGTGGTGTGCCCGCCGCACCACCCGCGGCTCGGCTACATGAAGAAGACGAAGAAGAAGAGTGGTGAGCAGCTTTGGTTTTGGTTGTTGTTGTTTGAATTAGATAAATTAGTTTTTGTTTAGTAAAGTTACTAATTGAGTTATTAACTTAGATGGTAAGGTGGGTGGTTAAGGTTTGGGAGAGGGTTTGAATCCCTTATTAGCTTAATTTTTAATTATTAGCTTTTAATTAATAGTTTATCTTGAGCTTGAGTGTTGATTTGATTAAGGATTTAATCACTTAGGTTCATAATAAAATGTCTAGCCTAGATGGTTGAGCTTGTGGGTAATTTAAGAAGGATTTAGGGTTCAAATCCCTTTATGAGTTTATTTAGTTTTGATTAGTACTTTTGTTAATTAGTGAAGATCCGGTTTAATCCACAGGTTCCCAGTAGCACGACTTTATGAGTTGAGCCTATGTTGACGTTGTTTTTGGATGGTTAAGCGAAGGAGGTAACCCATGCTCTACAAAATCTATTTTCTTACCTATATGATGATTTCTTGACTTCTACTTGTGATTTTTGGCTATGAAATGTGAGTTTTGATGCATTGTCTTGTGGGAATGCATATCTAGAGCTTGTTATTAGGATTCTTGTATGTCATTGCTTGGCTATTCCTTTGATTCAAGTCATATTGTTGTATTTTGTGAGATTTGTGAGATTTTGGGTGTTTTGAACTTGAATTTGGACTTGTTGAAAATCCGCGAAGGGATTAGTTTTGGTACAGGGTTGTACCCGCGGGCGGAACGGCGGACAGTGGCCTACCCGCCGCCCCACCCGCGGGGAACACCACTCGTGGGTAATGGTACCCGCGGGTGGAACCACGGGTGGAGGTCCACCCATTGCCCCACCCGCGGGGTACATGCACTACGGTGATGTTCGGGGATTTGTTCCCCGTGATTCTTTTGACTCGGTAATTGATGTTTTGACTTCCCGATGTTGTTTTGTTGAGCTATTTCAGTGTCTTCTTGATGTTTCGTATGTCTAGAACGATATGTTAGGAATCCATGTAGGATTTGGTGTCTTGAATCGTGCTAAGTGTTCAACTTTGTGATTCGTTGCACCATAATAGTCTTGTATGTTCTTCGGAACTATGTTTGGTTTACCCGTTTGATAAGCATGCTAGTTTGATGTTGAAATGCTAGTGTGTGCGGTTTGTTCTTCCCTTTTGAGAATGACAACTTGCGTTGATCATTGTAAACGACCCCTAAATGAGCTAACTTTAGAAATGTCTTATTATTATACAAGGAATAAATCAAAATATACATGTTATGAAATCACATTATTACACCAACATGCTTTTTAATCCCATTATAACTTACCAACATAGGCTCTTATTATATTTAGTAGATATCTATTTGTGGCCATTATCCTAGTTTTTTTTTTCTTTCCTGATTGGATACAGTTTTCCCATTATTGCGATTATCTAAACAATTTATGAAATGGATTATCTAATAACCGTTTCCATCGCTATGTATCTAGCGCTATTGAACCACCACTATGATGAGGTTTATGAATTTGTGTCGTTAAGTAAATTAATCAAGTCTGGAATTACAATATAATGGAATACTTTTTCGTTGCAAAAAAAAAAAAAAAAAAAAAAAAAAACAAAACAAAACAAAAAACAAAAAACAAAAAAAAAAACTTGAATTAAAAAAATTGCAATGAGATTTTATTTCATTTCCATTTTTCATTGCAACTTATTCTCGCTGCAATGCTATTTTATTCCGTTGCAAATATCATTACAAACTTATTAAATTTAAAAATAATTGCAACTAGAATTCATTATGTTGCAGTTTTCTCTTACAATTTTTTTTTTTTTTTTTTTTGTTGCAATGCAATTTTTGCAATGAACATTTATTCCATTGCAAATATCATTGCAAAATAATTAATATAAAAAAAATTGCACAGAAAATGTATTCAATTGCAATTTTTCGTTGCGAAGTATTTTGTTGTAGGGCTAATTTTGCAATGACATTGTGTTTCGTTGCAAATACCATTGCAAAATTGCTAATTTTTAAAAGTTGATAAAATTTTGCACCGGAATTAATGGTCGCTGCAAATTTTGTAGCAAAAGTTGAAAATTGATTTAGTTTTTTTTTTTTTTTTTTTTTTTTTTTTTTTTTTTTGTTGCAAAAATGTTTCTCTCCATTTTTTTGGTGCCAAAATTGCAATGAAAATTTATTTCTGTTGCAACGTTGCAATGAAATTAATTTCGTTGTGATTTTGCAACAGAATTCATTTCGTTTTCATTGCACCTTAGGGGGTGTATTCAATCATGACTTTTGTAGAGTTTTAAATACTTTTAAAATAATAGACTTTAATAAACTTTGATTGACTTTCATAGAGTCATTCAAAACTTTTTAAAACTTTATAAGACTCTATAAAAGTCTATATAAAAAACTTTCAGACTTTTATCAACTTTTTATTTTTAAAAGTCTACAAAAGTCATTGAAATTCTAAATTAAATACATCCTTACGAACTTTCAATGATTTTGATTCTTATCATTTATAATTTTCTTACAAAATATTTATAATATATCATAAAATTCTTCTTATTATATAGTTCTTCACCCACATCAACATACTCAACATTATTATTTTTATCCCTAGTATGCTGAGACTTATATGCTAATTACTTATATATATTATTAATAAACATCAACAAAAAAAAAATTCATTAGAAATTCATAACAATATTGAACAATAAAATTAATAATAAAAGAATTGATAAAATAAAATATTTAAAAATATAAGGCTAAAGTGTCATCCCACACCCTGAACCATATGCGATTCTTCATGCCACACCTTAATCTTTAATAAGTGCTAATTAGATTCACAAACCAATTTTTTTTTGTCGCCTAGCATTTTTAGAAGGTTTCCCAGTCGCGGTGCTGACATGGAACCGGTTAGAATCTTATGTGGATTTTGTTTTTATATTTTATTTTTTGAAGACATATGGATCCATTTTTTTTAATTTTTCTTTATTTAAATTGTTAAAACTTAGTGGTCGACAACTACCGTATTCATTTTCTATTGTATTAGCCGACAACTCCTCACTACTCTCCGGCGATAACGCTCTCTCAGACGACTTTGTCCGACGTTCTCCGACGACTCACTGGTCTCCGACGAAGCACTGGCCTCGTACTATAGTCAGGGTACGGTACAATTGTTTTTGGAATCAATTTTGTGTTTTCAATTGTTTTCAATTAAATGGAAGGGTTTTGCTCTGTTTTGAATATGATGAAAATGGATGTGGCTTCTTCCTTTGGAAGGATCAAGTGCTAGGAGGGGTGAAGGTGACCATGAAGACCTCAAGAATCTTGTGTTGTCTTTGAGATGTGAAATAGAGGATTTGAGAGAACTAATTATTAATGAGTGTAGTGCTATGAAAAAAGAAAATCAAGTGTTGAGGAAAAAAATATTTTTTTCTCTTAATTGTAATTGGGGTGCTTGTAGCCAAACTTTGTTGTTAGGAATTGTAATTGTAATTTTAATTGTTTTACATTGTAATGAAATTGCCATTGATTAGCTATTTTGAGTATGAATCACTTGCATTTTGGTGAAAATTTTGAGGTTTTGGTAATAGTGTTTGATAATTAGATGTTTGTTTTCAGCTGGAGCTTTACTGTGTATTGACCACTCTATGCATATTCAATTGGATGTGTCTTTTTAGTTGATAACAGTGTTTTTTGGAATGGGAATGGATTTTCTTGAGTTAATTTGGAATGGGAATGAATTTGAATTTGATGGTGAAGATGATGATAAAAGTGTTTTTTGGAATGGGAATGAATTTGATGATGAAGATGCTGTTAATTTGCATACAGAATCCATATATGATGACCATCATATTTCTTTATTCCTGAGTTGTCATTTTACCAAAATAAATTCAGGTTTTAAATATTTCTGAGGCCAGAGCACAAGAACTCTAGGAAAGTACACTGCCTACATGAGTAATCTTCAATTTGCCAACAATTTGAAAACTACACTGCCTTCAATTTGCCAACAATTTGAAAATGATCACTGCCATTCAATACCAAAATCCAATACATACATTTGGATAATAATAAGTAGCAATACATTCAATACCACCAAGCTAAACCATTCACTGCCTACATCAGTTAATCACACAGTGCAAACTAATTATGCCCTGATCAGTCACTGCATACATTAGACTGCAAACTACATTCAATACATTCACAATTTGTTCATTAGAAAACTATCATCATTGTTGTGTACAGTGCTGCCAAAAATATCCAAAAGTCCAAGAAGCTTCCAAATCTTCAATGTTGTGTGCAATCTACAAAAATAAACACAAATTATTAGCAAATTATTATCATAAATCCAATAATCATAGAACATATATAAACAGTAGTTTAAGTGAAATACCTGACATTCCAATAGTACTTTCTTGAGATAAAATTGGCCCCCTTCCTCTTCCTCTAACTGCAGTACCAGCCCTTCCACTTCCCCTTCCTTTCCCTCTTCCTATAACAGCAGTAGAAGTACCACAGTGTCCTTGTTGGTTTGTCAAAGTAGGACAAAATCTTTTGTTGTGCCCCTTTCCCTTGCATATTTGACATGTCATTATCCTCCCTTTCCTTGACAGCTTACTAATCTCTGAACTCATCTTGGTTTTGTCCTTGTTCTTCTCATTATCTTCAAGTTTTCTTTTTTTCTTAGGCCTGCCAGTCATCTTCCTTGGGACTGGAGCATGTATTTCATCACCTTCAGTTCTTGGCCAAAACTGCTCTCCATTTATTGGCTGTATTACTTCATGATAGGTCTTCAAATACCTCTCTTTACTGTACCATTCATGGATGTATTGATCTGGCTGGTGACCCTTGTGAAATATGGCACAAATGGAGTGAGAACAGGGCATACCACTCAACTGCCAAAGTCTACAAGAACAAGTCTTCAACTCTAAATTCACCTTGAATTGAAAGCTTCCCTTTTTCACCTCATATCCTTCAGCTCCATTGTAGACAACTTCCCAATTTGCACTGTCAAGTATGTTCTCATTCAGCTTTTTCAGCACACATGACCCATAATTGCCCCTCCATCTTTCAGCTATTGCTTTCTTCTTTGCAATCCTCTTCATAACAAAAACTCTTATATCTTCAAGCATTGGGATAATATTCTTTGACCTTGCTTTCAACAATGTCTTGTTAAATGCCTCACTCAAATTGTTGTCCACCAAGTCACATTTAACTTCATCTTTGAAGAATGCTTTGCACCATAACTGCATAGGGTACTTGTTAAGATCATGACGTGCTGTAGCATCTACCTTATCCAAAGCTTTCAACTTATCTGCAAGTAGTGCTTGAGTAGGTGTCTTTGCAATCTGCCAGAAATGTGCCTTCAGGACCTTCCCCCTATGATTCTTACTCCAGTTGGCATGGACATGCCTAGCACAATTTCTGTGCTCAACACCAGGAAATATCTCTTGTATGACATTAGATAAACCCTGCAAATTCAGATTCAAGTTAACCACAATATCAAGTACCGTAACACATTTAAAGAACTAAAGAATTAAAGTGGATTTACCTTCTGTTGATCACTCATTAAGGTCCGTTCAGTGTTGTCCACAATATTCAAATCTGACTTTAAAAGCTTCAGAAACCATGTCCATGATGAGCTATTCTCAATCTCAACAACAGCCCAAGCAATTGGATACATTTGATTGTTACCATCTCTACCAACAGCAGTCAGTATTTCACCCTTCAATTTCCCTTTTAAAAAGCAACCATCTAGTCCAATAAACCTCCTGCAACCCTTTAAAAAACCCTTCATCATAGCATTAAAACACACATATATCCTCTCAAACATTAATGGTGAATTTTCCACAGTTGTTGTTGTTTTTATCTTCACTGTAGATCCTGGATTTGAATTCAAGCACTCCTGAGCATAATCCCTTAGCTTTTTGAACTGACTCTCATATCCAATATCCAACTTCTTCAATATCCTTGTTATTGCTCTTCTACACATGCTGACAGTTACATTCAAGTTCAACTCAGATTTGATTTCTCTGCTCAACTCTGAATAACCAATAGTTCGATTTTGTCTCACCTTCTCTTCAAATTTCCATTCTAACCATTTCTGACTAACTATCCCCAAGGTAAATTGATTGTTGCATTTATGTTCCAAGCTAATTGCCTTCACCTGAAAACACCTAGTTCTCTCTTCCCACCCTGCACTAACATGAAAACCACAACCCTTTCCCAGACACTCAACCCTAACATACTCTAATTGATTCTTTTTCCAGAAAAAATCCCTCTTTGTGTGTACAGCATAACTAATCATAGCCAACTTGAATTGCACATTTTCATCAAAGTACATACCTAATTGAATAAAAGGGTGGATCTGCTTTAGGGTTAAACGTAGGGTACTTAGCATTGTACTTTGATTGCACCTCATTTCCTTCCTCATTTTCCAAATCTTCTTCAACTGTTGGTGGATCTTCTGAATCATAATAAACAGAATCAGCTTCATCTCTTAAGGGATATTCAGATGTTGCCACATAAGGTGGTATTGATTCCTCATCTAGTCTGATTTTCCTTTTCCTCTTGTCCCCCCTTTTTGTAATCTGCTCAGAATCATAATCAGCCTCATCTCCTAAGGGATTTTCAGTCCCCTGCTCACTTAAGTAGTCACTCCCAAGTCCTAAATCTGCCTCAACTTCACTCCCACCTTCCTCACCCCCTAATTCTGCACCATATTCAGCCTCATCCCCACCTCCCTCACCCCCTAATACTGCCTCAGGCCAAGGTAAAGATAAAGCAACCACATCAGGCTCATCTTCCCCATGTTCAACATAAATCTCACACCTTTTATTCTCTGTAGCAATCTGAGCTAAGTGGAGACTACTAGCATCATTATGAAGTAGTTTTAAAGCTGTAAAGGGTTCACTGGTCAACTTATATGTTAGTGAGGCTATTTTCCCATACCTTTGGTCTACTATGTACTTCAATAAGTGGGGATAACATATTAAGTCAGGGTCCATAAACACTTTTTGTGTCTCACCGTTCAAATATTTTAACTCAGGCTTTTTCACGAAATTACCACTGTGATGAATAATTAATTCCACACTTCCATTCATCCTAACAACAAAAATTTAAGGCATATTTAATCATAAAAGCAACAACATTGGCAGTATCAATTTATACACCAACCAACTGTCAGAAATACAACTAATGAAATGCAGGACCACACTTTATACAAACATATAAAACAAAAATGCAGTACAACAGGACCCACTACATCAAAATCAATACAACAGTTGGCAGCAAAAGCATCAACAGTATAATATTCCAGCCCATTCGCATATTCCAAGCAAAAGCAAAGCAATTTGACAGCATATTCGCATATTACATTACGAACAGTATAATATACCTACACTTTATGCATATATTGTTCTACATATAGACTTAAACATACCTTACTCCTCCTTTGCATATATTCACTTCGACTTCGCACCTTCGTCCCCAATGTTCGTCGCCCACTCTTCGTCGTCGATGTACGGATGCTGTCTGGAAGTCGTCTGGATTAGTGATTTAGGTTTCGTTGTTCGTTGGTCTGAATAATTTGGGAAGTCGTCGAAGTGGTCTGAATAATATTCTTAGGGAAGTCGTCGAAGTGTTCTGGAAGTGGTCCAATTTAGGGTTATCAATTGTACAATTAATTTGGGTATATTACATGTATGTGATGACAGTGCTGCCACATATCCAAAAACAACCATGTTAATATTGTTTTAGCTCCACATCAGCAACAAGAAACCGGAGACTTGAAGGGAACCTACTAAAAATTCTAGGCGACAAAAAAAAATTGGTTTGTGAATCTAATCAGCACTTATTAAAGATCAGGGTGTGGCATGAAGAATCGCATATGGTTCAGGGTGTGGGATGGCACTTTAGCCAAAATATAATTACAAGTTGCATTAAAAAAATAAAAATCTAATATTAATAATATATATAAAATAATTATACTTGATATATTGCTAGGCATCACGCAAAAAACTATTATTTGCAATAGCAATTTGAGACTACGAACAACAACAAGGTGCTACTGTTTACAACCCCAAATTGTTGTTTCGAACATTAGTTCGCTATTTGTAGTTGTTAGTATTATTATTATTATTATTATTATTATTATTATTATTATTATTATTATTATTATTATTATTATTATTATTATTATTATTATTATTATTATTATTATTATTATTATTATTATTATTATTATTATTATTATTGTTATTAATTTTAGTATATGATTGTAATTGTATGGTGTTAGTTTTAGCTGACCAAGTGTAGCCTAGTTATCAGGAGTAGTTAGAGTTTAGTTATGGATATACTTTTGTAATATGTATTCTATCGTAACTGAATCATTTCAATTCTCTAATCTGGTAACAGTCAGGTATCGGTTCTCTTTCCTCCTCACCGCAAACTTCCCCCTCCTATCCGTAAACACCACCACACAACCGACCTCCGATCATGTCGTCCAGTTCTTCCGACCGGATTGCTTCCGCCACCGGCAACCCATCTCCGGCTGGTGCGAATGCTCTCTCCGATGCTCATCACTTTGTGAGCATGAAGCTTACGTACAGAAACTATCTATTCTGGCGTAGGCAATTGATTCCCTTCCTCTGCGGCCAGGAGTTGCTGGGATACGTCGACGGTAGCTTCCTGTGTCCACCGGCTACCATCGCCGCACCCTTGCCAGACGACTCCTCTGATGCGACGGCCTCTCTCGTTCCCAATCCAGCCTTCAAGGCTTGGGAGAAGCAGGTCCAGTCCATCTTATCCCTTTTGATCTCCTCCATGGCGGATGAAGTTCTCCATCTCGCCGTCGGCAAAGAAACGTCCACCGCAGTCTGGGCCTCCATCACAAGTGCCCTCGGTTCCTCCAGCCAAGCTCGGTGCATGATGGCACTGTGGAGCGTTACAAAGCGCGCCTCGTTGCCAAAGGGTTTAATCAGGTAGTTGGATAAGATTTCTTTGACACCTTTAGTCCTGTGGTTAAACCTACCACAGTCCGCATGCTGTTCTCTCTTGTTGTGTCCAACCAGTGGACGCTACGCCAGCTAGATGTTCACAATGCGTTCTTGAATGGACACCTGGCAGAGACGGTGTATATGAAGCAACCTCCGGGATATGAGGATCCGACCAATCCCAGTCATGTGTGTTTTCTTCAGCGTTCTCTTTATGGCTTGAAACAGGCTCCACGCGCCTGGTTCAAGCGTCTCCATGATTTTCTGTTGTCTGCAGGTTTCAAGTCCTCCAAAACAGATGTCTCTCTATTTTACTACACAGCTGGGGACTCCCGAGTTTTCTTACTCGTCTATGTCGACGACATTATCATGATGGGAAACGATGCCGCCCTGGTAACCTCTCTACTGCAACGGCTTGCGACAGCATTCAAAATCCGAGATCTTGGTACTCCACACTTCTTCTTGGGTATTGAAACCATTGCAGACAGTGATTGGATTATTCTCTCGCAACGGCGTTACACAACTGACCTCCCAGGACGAGCTGGAATGGTTGACTGTAAGCTTCTTGCTACACCAGCAGCTGTTACTAAGTCAGTCGTACCGTCTGATGAGCCGTTTGAGAATCCGACTCAGTATCGTCGTGTGGTCGGCGCTTTGCAATATCTGACTATCACCCGGCCGGATCTTGCGTACTCGGTCAATAGACTATGTCAATTCATGCACTCACCTACTACCGAACACTAGGGGCTTGTCAAACGTGTCCTGCGCTACATTAAGGGGACACTCTCACTAGGGTTACGGTTCTCGCCGTCGTCTACTACTCACATACAGGCCTATTCGGACTCTGATTGGGCAGGGTGTCCTATTGACCAGAAAAGTACAAGTGGGTTTGCTGTCTGTCTGGGGTCTAATCTCATCTCCTGGCTCTCCAAGAAACAGCGCACCGTTGCTCGGTCCTCCACAGAGGCAGAATATAAAGCTCTAGCTGACATGTCTACTGAAGTCACTTGGGTTGTTACTTTGTTACGGGAATTAGGCCTACACTCTGGTGAACCTGCTTCCTTATGGTGTGACAACCTTGGGGCGACTTATCTATGTGCGAATCCGATTTTTCATGCATGCACTAAGCACGTTGAGATCAACTACCACTTCGTTCGTGACAAAGTGGCATCGGGGGACTTTGTTGTCAACTACATCTCTACTACGGATCAGCTGGCTGACATCTTCACCAAACCGCTTCCAGCACCTCGGTTTGCCACTCTACAGGACAAGCTCAATATTGTGCTTCACCAACCTTGTGCTTGAGGGGGTGTGTTAGTGTTATTATTATTATTGTTATTACTTTTAGTATATGATTGTAATTGTATGGTGTTAGTTTTAGTTGACCAAGTGTAGCCTAGTTATCAGGAGTAGTTAGAGTTTAGTTACGGATATACTTTTGTAATCTGTATTCTATTGTAACTGAATCATTTCAATTCTCTAATCGTAGTAACCTGTTGTTAAAAAAAATAGAAAAATATATATTACGAATGTAAACATAAAAAGAATAAAAATCAAAAGATATGAGTGTTTATATGAATATTATGAAACATATACTAAAATTTAAGGATGAAAAAATTGCTTTGTTCATGTATTTAGGGAGAATTAGAGAAAGTTAGGGATAAAAAAATTCATAGAAAAAATAAAAATCAATATAAACAAGCAATAATGAAGTAAAAATAATATTATTTCGAATTTTTAGAGGAAGATTGTAAAGTTTAGGAGAGAGAGAGAAAAATTGGTAGAGTTTAGGTATGAGGAAAATATAGGATAATGAAGAAAAAAATAATTTTATTAAATTTAGATAGGTTTACAAAGTTTAAATAGGGAGAAAAAATAGAGTTTAAATAGAGGGAGAGAAAACATTCAAAGTTGTTAGAAAGAAAATTTTGAAATCTTGGAGTTGATGGTTGGATTTCAACTATTTATATTTGAGAAGAAAAAGTCTACAAAAGTCCAAAAATTAAAAAGTCTACAAAAAGTCTACAAAAGTTCATAACTTTTTGAATACCACATGACTTTTAAAGACTCTTTAAAAGTCTTCTCCCAAAAGGTTGAATCCCCAACCCCAATGGCCCCCCCACACTCAGACTCGACAGAGCATTGTGGGAAGATGTAAATCACTGTGACTCAATGGTTCAACAAACAGAGCCAAATGCCGGTGCGCACAAGGAATCTGTCCACTTTGGACATAATTCGCACACTACCACCACCGAAGTTTGAATCTTTAAAAGTCTTAATCGAATATCACACGACTTTTAAATACTCTTTAAAAATCTTGATTGAATACTGCTTGACTTTTAAAGACTCTCTAAAAGTTTTGAATACCTCCAAACTTTTAAAGTTCATAAAAGTCTTTAAAACTTTATGAAAGTCATGATTGAGTACACCCCCTTTAGACTTTTTATAGTAGTGAAAGGACTAAATAATTCTCAGACTTTTTCTAGTAATTGAAGGACTAAATAATTCTCTTTTAGTACAACATGCTAGGATCTAAAAGAAAATTGAGAAAATTAAAGCATTAGTTGTATAAGGGAACTAGGACAAATTCCATTTTAACAATAAATATTGCCCTTAAAAATGACATAAAAGATGTGCAATATATAACTTAAATTGTCAAACATAATTGCATTTTTACAAAGCTATAACCTTGTTCCAAACATATAGTGCTTAAATTATTTAAGTATTGATAGTAAAAAAAAAGGTTTCTATGCACAGAATGTCAAAATTGCGCTTATAACATTGAGAAATAGAGATAGCATGGTTTGAAGCTTCTTTACAAATAAGAAAGCAAAAACAAATGACTTCAGAGTCATCAATGTTCATAAACTTTGAGATAGCTTTAGGCAACTATCAACAAAGTTTCTCGCTCTTATCATATTGAGCATTTTGTCTACCAATACATGTCACAACGGCATAGAAAATGATAGCATGGTCGTCATTTTTCCACAAACAATTATTATGGAGAATTTTATATTAAAATTTTGTGGATAGATAATGAATTTGATACAAACAAAGACCATTAGATATGGGGAACTTTAATCTATATTCAAAATAATTTACAAAACTAAAATGACAAAGTTAATAAATATTTTTATTTGTTCCCCTACATCACAACACTAAAATAATATGAAAGGAAAAAAATACTCTCAATATTCGAAATATACATCACAACACTAAAATAATCAAATTCTTTGTGAAATTCCTAAATATTCGTCACAAGAATTTATAAGTAAATTTCACAGCAAATTTTCATAAAATATGTCTGGTAATCTATGGATTAATAGTAGGAATTTAGGTATTCATTGTGGCATGTTTTGACTTGCAAATGATTAAATTGTGTGTGTGAATGATAAGTAGTAAAGAGAAGCTGTGCGTAAAGTAAATGAGAGATTAGAATTTTATAGTGGTTCAACCAACTCGCCTTAAAGCACTCTTCTCTTAGAATTTTTTAGGTGGTTTCCAGTAGTATATACTCCAAATACAAGTAGAGAAAACTTGTGCTTTGATCACAAAGCCAGCCACAAGCCACAGGGTTTCATAAGATGCACTTGTTACTCCTCATCTTTCTACTTCAACAAGCAAAGATGTTGGGTTTGAACACAAAGGTTTTGTTCTCCAACTGATAATGATTTAGTGTTTGATTGGTTCTTGAATCTGCCAAAGTCTTCTCTTGATCTTGAGTTGTTCGCAATTCTCTCTCTCATTGGCCAACTTGAATTTGAAAGCAATTTTAGCACTAGTATGGAGTTTTTCTTGAAAAGACCATAACCTCATTCAGCTCTGAAGTTAGGTATTTATAGACATCTTTGAATTTTTTCGTTGGAAACAAAATTCAAACCAAATGTCTTTATCCATAGTCAAATCGGAGATGTAAATATAAATCAAAATCTAAATACATGTGACACCGGGGCATACTCCTGATTATTACATAAAAATCATAAAAAAAATATATCTAGTCACGAAAAAACTTAAGCACAACAGAGGCTAACCCAAATTATACTAAGCAACATCCTTTATATAATAAAGCTATATGGTTTGGGAAATAATTAATTTTACAATTAATGCCACAACATCTTTTATTATTAAAAAAAACACATTAAATAGCTATATATTATATAATCATATAAAAAATATACTTTTGAAAAATAAAATAGCTATATATTATATAATAATATAAAAATGTGTTCAATTAGAGTTTAAATTTACACATACAAAATTTGAAATTTGCTTTCCAAATGTAATTATCTCTTTTTTTTTTTTGGTATAACCAAATGTAATTATCTTAGTTATTATTCGTATTGTGAAAATTATAATATAGATGAAATACAATTAAGAATAAATCAATGTAATTATGTAAATTCTCTCTATAAATTTATTTGAATATGCACATAATTAGAGATTATATTAATCATACAAAATTATAATTATAATTTTAATTTTAATTGTAATTTTGTATTCTATAAAAATAATAAATACTTGACCAATGAAAGTTCAAAAATATTATATATTAAATAATTTAAAATATTTTAGTTTTTCTATTTTTTATTTATATTTATAATAACATAATTTTTTTCCGTGCATCGTGCGGGTGAATTACTAGTTAATTAAAATAAGCTAAGCACATCCGTTGCACCATGTTGTGTCAAACATGTACTTCATGCACGATAAACTCTAAAGAAATGCATCAAAAACATGTTGTGTCAAACATGTACTTCATGCACGATAAACTCTAAAGAAATGCATCAAAAACATAACCAGCACTGCATATAGACTTGAACCCTGGCCAGAAGCCCCAAAGCATGCCCACTCTGCCGCTACACCACACTCAACCTTTAGAACTAAAGCTCCAAAGATAATATATGAAGTCCAGAAGCAGAACGTCTACAAACGGGTGGGAGAATTAATAAAAATCTTCCGCCATAAGAGAGAAACGAACCCACGCCAAGCAGCTCACTATCGACCTCTCATCCCATCTAGCCACGGAGTCCATCTTGCTAAATTTATGCATCCGAAAAATACTTAAGGCATATCACCAAGAAACGGGTCAACCCACCATTAAGCGGGTCAACCCACCATTACGCTTTATCCATAGTGCAATGACTCAATTGTTATGCCGTGCAACCGTGTGTACCGTTCTTGGTACACACGGTTGAAAACGGCACCGTAAAGTGCCAGGGAAGTAACGGTGCCGTTAGTGGCACCGTTTCACTCATCCCGATATTTAAAAAAAAATATTATTATTATTGCCATAAAACGCCACTACACTCCTTTTTCCGCCATTTCCAACATTTCGTCTCCAACAAGCTACACACTTCCTTCGCACTGTAGCAGTCTTCATCACTCTCTCTGTCTACTCGGAGTCGCGATTTTCGCCGTCTTCATCTCATTGTCGCCGGAGCGTGTTTTGTTCACCATTGTCGCCATTTTCGCCATTTTCATTCTAGCATTGTCGCCCGTTATCATCGCATTCTCCATCAGGTATAATGTATTTTTGTCATTTTTTACTGTTAACGTTGTGTTTTTTGACTGTTAACATTCATATTCGCTGTATATTCTTGTTATTTTTTACTAGGGTTTTGCAACACGATTTTGCATTTTTCTCAAACAGATCAATACTCTGTTTTTTTTTTCTGTTTCTTTGATTGTTTTTTGGTGTTTTCTGAAATGTTTTTGGACAAATAGTTGTGATATTGTGGATATATAGCTTTATACTTGTGGTTTTATAGTTTAATACTTATGCATGTCTGAAAATATCATTCATCTCTTCAATTATTGTGTTTCTGAAATGTTTGTGGACAAATAGTTGTGATATTGTGGATATATAGCTTTATACTTGTGGTTTTATAGTTTAATACTTATGCATGTTCGAAAATATCATTCCTGTCTTCAATTAGTGTGTTTCTGAAATGTTTGTGGACAAATAATTGTGATATTGTGGATATATAACTTTATAATTGTGGTTTTATAGTTTAATACTTATGCATGTATGAAAATATCATTCCTGTCTTCAATTAGTGTGTTTTCTGAAATGTTTGTGGACAAATAGTTGTGATATTGTGGATATATAGCTTTATAATTGTGGTTTTATAGTTTAATACTTATGCATGTATGAAAATATCATTCCTGTCTTCAATTAGTGTGTTTTCTGAAATGTTTGAGGACAAATAGTTGTGATATTGTGGATATATATCTTTATAATGGTGTTTTATAGTTTAATACTTATGCATGTATGAAAATATCATTCCTGTCTTCAATTAGTGTGT